GTGTAGCTATAAGGGTTCCTTATGGTTCAAGGCCTCATCAGCAAATACTGACCAGTCATTAATAATGCTCCTCTGGAGATGCTTACTTTTACTCTTGTCAAGAGTTGGCCATTTTCTTCATTGAATATGCTTTATTTGGAGACTGTTTCTTATCTGCTCACATATCAAAAGAGATTTGGCCCAAAAGGTAGTATTTTAAAGTGCCATTAAGTTAGATCTTTTGACATCAACTTGAGGGTCACTATTTGCAGCATTCAAAAGGTTACTTCCTTTTTCCAAATTTTAAATCAAAGGTAATACCTTTATTTTTCAAGAAGGAAAGAAATGCAGTTGAAAACCGAACAACTAAATTCTACTTGAATTTCAGTAGTTTAGTAGGTTGTCTTAGTGAGGTTAGGTACTGGGGGTTTAGACAATCCCCAAAACCCTGGCACATTCTAATAGGAATACTAATAGGATTGCAAATATGGTTATTTTTAAGTCCATACATAAATCACTGCCTTATAAATAATCAGGAAAAGTGACTGTTCCCTATTCCTCTTAGAATTTCTATCAGAATTTATAGTCAAGGCCCAATTTGAGTCCAAGATCTATAATTTTAGGGCATGACACTTAACCAGCCCTGCTCACTGTTTGCCCTCTAGAAAATGGGGTAATGTGTTCTCTGCCTGTTGCACTGAGTTATGCAAATCAAATTAGGTCATTTCCAGGAAAGCACTTTGTAACTGGTAAAGAATGTAGCTTACTAATTATTATTCTAGTTCATCTAGTCAGACCAACCTTTTTCTCACTACTCTGTGGTATGTTGTTGTGGGGGATGACATGACAGTCCAGAGTTCTGTAATGTGTACCACCTCTTAGGAGTGCTTCTTTTATACTTGTAACTAGAGGCCTAGTGCATGGATTTGTGCACTGGTGGTGTCCCTAGGTATGGCCTGCGGGGATCAGACCAAAACCGGCAGTCCAACATCTCCCAAGGGATGTAGTAGTGCGAGAAGCAGCAGGTGACTGGGGAGGAGCCAGAGCCCAGGCTGGGTGCTGCGCTGCTCGGTAGGCTCACAGCCTCTCTGCTACAGTCTCCACGCACCCATCCTAGGGCGATACCAGCACACCCATGACTGAGAAGCGGCCGCGGGTTCATGCCCAATCAGTCCCAATGCCGGTCCCAGTCCTGGTCTGGATGGGGAAGGGGCACACAGGGGGAGTGTCCGCAGGAGAGGCTCACTCCGCTGCAGCTGCACTCGCCAGCTGTGAGCCCGGCGTCTGGCGCCTAGTGGTCAGCTAAGCGGCGCTCCTGCTGTGGCAGCGCACTGACCACCAGGGGGCAGCTCCTGAATTGCGTGTCTTCCCCCTGGTGGTCAGTGCGCATCATAGCAACCAGTCAAATGGTCACTTAGGCTTTTATCTATCTATCTATCTATCTATCTATCTATCTATCTATCTATCTATATAAAACCCTAATATGCAAATAGACTGAATGGCAGAACAAACAGCTGAACAGCCGTTTGCTATGACATGCACTGATCACCAGGGGGCACGCACAGAATATGGCGGGCATCGGCAGCAGGCGGTAGAGTGTGGAACATGGTGGGCTTCTCCGCCTCCCCCTGCTCCTGAGGGGCGATTGGGGCCAGCAGCCGCCTCTTGCACCCGCTTGCACCCGCTACCAGCGCCAAAGCTGCTGCTCACACCCACTGCTGGCGCCGGCCCCGCTCACACCTGTAGCCGGCACTGGAGTGGCCGATCGCACCCGCTGCCAGCGCCCGGTGCTGTCCCCGATCACTCGGCACCATCAGCGGGTGTGAGCGGTGGCTGCTGGCCCCGATTGCCCCTGAGGGCTTCTCCACTTCCCCGTTCTCCTGAGGGGCGATCGGAGCAGCAGCCTCCATTCACACCCGCTGACTGCACCAGCCCCAATCACTCTGAGGCATCAGCGTGTGTGAGCGGGGCCGGTGCCGTTAGTGCGTGGGAGCGGTGGCAGCGGGATTGGGGCTGCAGTGGGAGGGGCCGGGCAGAGTCACGGAGGATGGGCCAAGACCCACCCCTATGCTCCCCACAGCCTCGTGGCCCCACAGTTGGTGCACGAATTCGTGCACTGGGCCCCTAGTCTATATTATAAAAAGCCAGTGCCATAACGGCCAAACCACCAGTCACCATGAAGTGCATGGAGCACCTCTCGGTCCCTCCCCCACGGCCCACAGGCTCTGATCGCAGGAAGGCGGGCGGGTGGGCGTGGCGCGGCGTGGTGAGGCAGGCATGGCGAGGCACACGCGGGTGGGCAGGGCTGCGAGTGTGGCAGGGGGGTGTGACGGCCATGCGCTTTTGCACACTGGGCCTCTTTATATAGAAGATAGGAAATGGACAATTGTAGACTATTGCTAGTTTTATCCCTTTATTTATTACTAAAGTGATGCATGTTTATTGTGAAGAAACAAGAAATATAAATCATTAAAGAGGAAAAATTAAAATTACTTCTAAATGCAGAAATAATTGCTACTTTTACTTTTGTATTCTTTGGAAACAAATTCACTTCTACTGAACATAATATTTTTTCCTGTTTGTATTATATAATAAGTTACATGAAATGATATACTATAATTATATATTTTAATGGCTACATAGTATTCCACTATAACTTATTTAACTAGTCCCAAACTTTTTTATGCCATTTAATGGCTATTTTAATTTTTTTACATTATAAATAATGTATTTAATGACACGTTTTATGGCTAAATGTGTGTGTGTGTGTGTGTGTGTGTGTGTGTGTGTGTGTATCTCCTCATTCTTTTTACTAGGATAAATTCTAGACTTGGAATTGCTACATAAAGGGGCATATAACATTTTAAGAAATTTGATTTTTTTTTATAGCTTTATTGAGGCATAATTGACATAAACTGTACTTATTTACAGTTTGATAAGTTTTGACACATGTGTACACCCATGAAACCATCACTATAATTAAGGTGACCTTTTGTAATCCCTCCTTCTTATACCTTCTCATTTCTCCATTCCCAGGCAGCCCCTGATCTGCTTTCTCTCCCTTTATATTAATTTGCTTTTCTATAATTTTATGCAAATGGAATCACACAATTTGTGTACCTTTTTGTCTGGCTTCTTGCATTCAGCATAATTGAGTTTTAAATTCATCCATGTTGTTTATATATCAACTAGAGGCCCCGTGCACGAAATCGTGTGGGTAGGGTTGTAGGCCTAGCCTCCATCTTCTGCCTGTTTGCCAGTCCCCAGGCTGAATGCCACTTCTGCCACAGGGCTGTCAGGCCATTGGGATCACCAGCTCATCCCCGGCTGCTCGGGGGCTCAGGCCTGCGGGAAAGCAGGTGCGGTGACTTCACCTCCATGCGCGTGTGCTGGGCCAGCCACTGATGGAATGCACTGCCAACTTGGGGCCGCTCACGCGGGCACCGCCACTGCTGCCGCTGCTGGAGCTTGAGGTGCTGATGGAAGTTGGGGGCGCGCCCGCAACCTACCCACCCAGGCGTGAGCAGCCCCGAGCGGGCAGTACATTCCATTAGCAGCGGACCTGGCGCAAGTGCATGGAGGTGAAGTCGCCGGCACCTGCTTTCCCGCAGGCCTGAGCCTCCGAGCAGCTGGGGATGAGCTGGTGATCCCAACGGCCTGCCAGCCAGCCCGGTCCTCCTGCCACCCACCCTGATTTCCCCGTTCACCATCGCTGATCCATCAGAGCCTGTAGGCCTGGGGCAGGGACCAAGCGGTCAGCCATTCAGCCCGCTCTCCAGTCCCCAATCCTGCCCTGCCCCGCCCCGCTCGTGGGGTGTGGGGGGAGGGAGGGACTGAGAGGGAGTCAATGCCACCTCATGGTGACCGGTCGGTTAGTCATCCTGGTCGTCATGAACACTGGCTTTTTTATATATATAGGTAGTGCATCCATTTTTGTTTCTGAGTAGTAAATAGTCCATTGTAAAGACATACCATAATTCATTCACCTAGTGATAGGCATTTGAGTTGTCTTCAATTTTTGACTATTAAAAATATGGCTGCTTTGGACAGTGATGTATATGTCTTTCTGTGGACATAAGGCATTTGATATTCATCATAAATTTTGTGCTGGAAAGGTTACATAAGTAGTAGTTTGAAACAGGAAAAGCTTAATATGAAAGAAATTTGCTATTGTTTTTTTATTCTTTTTTTTAATATACGTTTGGGAGGATTTAGAACTTTTAGGTGTAATTTAATTGAATTAATTTGATGGAAATTTGAAATCAACAAAAGTTAACAAGTGTATCTTAAAAACCATAAACCTTTTTTATAGTTTGTTTTCTTGAAGCATCTAGATCAGCGGTTCTCAACCTGTGGGTCGCGACCCCTTTGGGGGTCGAACGACCCTTTCACAGGGGTCGCCTGAGACCATCGGAAAACACATATATAATTACATATTGTTTTTGTGATTAATCACTATGCTTTAATTATGTTCAATTTGTAACAATGAAATTGGAGGTCACCACAACATGAGGAACTGTATTAAAGTGTCACAGCATTAGGAAGGTTGAGAACCACTGATCTAGATGTATTGTATAGAACAGTGATGGCGATTTAAGCTCAGCGTGTCAGCATTTTGAAAAACCCTAACTTAACTCTGGTGCCGTGTCACATATAGAAATTTTTTGATATTTGCAACCATAGTAAAACAAAGATTTATATTTTTGATATTTATTTTATATATTTAAATGCCATTTAACAAAGAAAAATAAACCAAAAAAATGAGTTCGCGTGTCACCTCTGACACGTGTGTCATAGGTTCGCCATCACTGGTATAGAAAGCAAAGATCTGTTCCTTACCTTTAATGAACAATATATATTTCTTAAACAATCTGTATTTCTCTGTCAAAGGACTACTTCTACATTGAACTTGATCAAGAAATGATCAAGGGAAACTTGGGAAACTTTACAAAATATATTCCAGAATCTGGTTTGGAAGAGATACCAAACTATCTTTTTCTTCCTCTTCACATGTACCCTAGACTAAAGGAGGAGCAGGGAATCTGAAGACTCCAGATGACATCAGAATTACTTTTCAACAGCCTTCTCAGTTTCCTTTCTCAGAAAGCAGAGACTCAAACCTTGGAGACAGATGGTGAGAATATTTTTCCCAAGTTCTTAAGGCTTAAGTATTGTGATTTTAATATATTTTAGACGATCCTTTCTAAGTTATAAATTAGCTTATAATCACCAGACTTGTATTTTGTGTTATATCTTTGCAAATTCATTAGGCACTGTTTTTTGTTTGTTTGTTTGCTTGTTTTTTAAATATATTTTTATTGATTTCAGAGAGGAATGGAGAGGGAAGAGAGATAGAAACATCAGTGTTGAGAGAGTATCATTGATCGGCCACTTCTTGCATGACCCATACTGGGGCTCGAGCCCGAAACCCGGGCAGTACCCTGACCAGAAATTGAACCGTGACCTTCTGGTTCATAGGGTGACACTCAACAACTGAGCCATGCCAACCAGGCAGGCACTTTTTTTTTTTAAAACTAAGTGAGATACAATTCTATAATTAAAGAACTTAGAGGGTAAGGATATAGATAAAAACAAAAAGAGGGTGTTAATGTTTAACCCAGTAGCCTAAACATTTTTGACATATTGACAAAGTATCAATAAAATACTTTTTGCTTATACCTGCAACATTTATATATTTATGAATTATAATCACAAATTGGTTACAATTAAGCTATTTGCATTATAAAATACACAAAAAAAGAAAAAAAGGATATAGGTAAATTTAAGCAGTAGAAAGAGGTTAAATGATACAAAAATATTCTTGAGAATTAAAAGGTGTAGATTACTTCTGGAGAGAACAGTTGGGAATCTTAAAATAAATATTTGTGTTAGTGATACTTAATTTTGTTTTATAAAAAAACAAAATGGATAGTTAATGCAAAACTAAAATAGCAATCTGATTTCAGATTAAAAGTTAAGTATTGTTTTGAAGAAAAATAGAAGAATGTTTGGTTATGGGTTAATTATAGTCTAAGTCAGTGATTACTTTTTGAATTATATAAAATGATTACCTCTTACAAGGCAAATAGTAGCATTTCTGAGAAATGATAAAATAATCTGATTAACACAAGTAGGTGGTCAGTGCAACAGAAAGAGATGCCTGAGTGGTTAATTCTACTTGGATTAGCACCCCTGTTTTCCAGTATAGCTACAACCTATGATGAATTTGTCATGTCTTCAGCTCCTGAACCTTATATTGCCTTTGCCAGGGCAGAAACAATCCAAGTAAGCGGGGGAAAGACACAGTGATTATTGTTATCATTAATTGTGAAGAGTTTACTTTTAATTAGCTACCTGAAAACTCTGTTCAGAAGAGATACAGTAGATAGAATTTCCTAAACTTCACAGTGTTTTAATGGACTATGATGTTTTAAAAGGGAGATGGCAGGTTTTTTTGTTTGTTTGTTTTTAAATACGTTTATATTGATTTCAGAGAGGGAGAGGAAGAGAGAAATAGAAATTTCAGTGATGAGAGAGAATCATTGATCGGCTGCCTCCTGCATGCCCCCTACTGGAGTTTGAGCCCACAACCCAGGCATGTGCCCTGACCAGGAATCGAACTCTGACTTCCTGGTGCATAGGTTGACACTCAACCTCTGAGCCACACTGGCTGGGCAGGGATGGCAAACTTGTTTTTTACTATAGGCATAATATGGTCAGCACAGTGGTAATAATAACTCCTTTTCTTTACTATTCTAATTATATTCAGAAAACCTAGTAATGAAGTGTTTATTTTAATCATTCTATGTATATGTTTTAAATATATATACTAAATTTATTGGGGTGACATTAGTCAACATGAACATGTAAGTTTCAGGTGTAGGTTTTTATGTTACGAGATCTGTATATTGCACCATGTGCCCATCACCCAAAGTCAAACCTCCTATCATCATATATTAGGACCACCTTCTCCACCAAGCCCCTTCCCTCTGGCAACCACCACACTGCTGTTTGTGTTCACGAGTTTCAGTTTTATATCCCTCATCTGAGTAAAATCATATGGTTCTTAGCTTCTTCTGACTGACTTATTTCACTTAGCATAATGTTCTCAAGGTCCATCCATGTTGTTGCAAATGGTGCTATTTCATCCTCTACTTATATTTTAATCACTCTGATCATCCTTGCTTGTAATTTCAGCAAGAAAATCTTTAAAAACAAATTTATTAAATAAAAAAGAATAAAACTTTAATTTTATAATTGTAAAACTATTTGGTTGCTAGTCATTCTTCACATATTCATATATTATTATATTCTCTAAATTGAGACTTTAACCAGACTTTTTTACTTGTAAATATTAAGCATTCTTTCATTCAGGTATAATTATGTGTTTATGACAGTTTGATAAACCAAAATCAGCTCTTACATTTGATGAAACACAGTAGGTATTGAACCCAAATTCTTAATTTTTAATTTTGTTAAAATTGTAAGCGTGCATATTTTTATTGTTATTAATTTATCAACACCCTTGTTTTACCAAGTAGCCAATGACCACTTATGATAGTTGGATAACTAACTTATAAATATAAAGCCAATAAGTTGTCCTTGAAATATGATCAAATTTAGATCTTTCTCCCAAATAGAAAAGGAGACAGGGTATTTAGAATGTACAGTCACAATTTTGAAAGCATATAAAAATAAATTACTGGTGATTATATTATTTATAAATATTTTTAAATATTTCAAGATTTTAAAAGTGTGTGTTTTCTAAAATGTGTTTGTTAAACAATTTTTCCCTTTGAATGAGGAGCTCATGGTCACATAAGTTTGGAGAAGTTAAATCATAATTCCTTAGCCAGGGGATTGTTAGTCTCTAAAGGAGGATCCTCCAGAAGGAGGGATATATATATGTATATGTATATGTGTGTGTGTGTGTGTGTGTATATATATAAAATCTTAGGGAACTAGTATTCAGTAGCATATAGTTGAAGACTCTGAACTAATATATTTCATGAGGTTTTACTATAGTTTGTCTGCCATACAGTTATACTCTGAAAATAGTCTCATTATATATTTAAGTAATGTCCATCTGAATGAGAGGCCAAAGAGGGTGATTATAAAGGGACAAGAATTTGATGAAATGAATATTGCAAACCATATAAAGCACAGAGTATTTTATAAAGCTTCCTTAGTGTCTTAGGCCAGATTTTCCTTACTCGTTAGCTCTCCTTTTTGAAAGAAACAGTCATCCCATATGACTAACAAAATCAAATCACCCTTTATTGTATTTTATAGGACTCCATATACTTTCTGTACTGTTTATCTCAGAGTATAACATTTATTAGCTAATTTGGATAAATATTAAAAATATTAAAAAATAGTGAATAACTCCGACTCCTCAGGGGATGTCGGAGAGCTGGTTTTGGCCCGGTCCCCACAAGCCAGGCCAAGGGACCCCACCAGTGCACAAATCTATGCACCAGGCCTCTAGTATGCATATAAGATCTTTGGTTAATCTCTTCCTGCTCTCCCCCCTCCCCCTTTCCCTCTGAGATTCATCAGTCTGTTCCATGTTTCTATGCCTGTGGTTTCCTCTCCTGCATTGAGTGCCTGCCCCCTGGTGGTCAGTGCACGTCATAGCTACTGGACAGTCGCTTAGGCTTTTATATATATAGAATATATAGATGATTTCTCATTGGCAAGAGTTCTTTATTGTACTTTTTTTTTAGTTCAGTTAAATTGTTGATGACTATTTCAACAGATGTCTTAAGTATTAAAACTTTTTTGTCACATACAGAAGTATCTGTATGAAGAGACAAAAATGGCAGTGACTCAGCTGTCTGTAACAGGTTGAGTTACCAGGTTGATGAAGTGAAGCTAATTGTCTACATAGAATGCCTTCCACAAACTTTGTAAAACACTCCTCAAAATAATATTTTTAATTTAAGAAATAACACCTTGAAAACGTTTAAACTACACAGTTTTCTGTGAGAACTAGTGAAACCATCAATCCAGAACTGTTGGTGAGTCATTTTATTTGGGATTAATTGCTATAAACTAACTTGTTTGTCTCACTGATATTTCCCTGACTTCTTGGACAACCTGAGCAAGAAAATTTGGACGCTCAGCTCAAATAATTCCTTGTTAGTTTCCGGCATTGTTCCCAAGCACTCTTTAATCCTTTTTCTAGCATCTTGGTTCAGAGTTCATTTCTAACCTATAGCATTTGTGCTGCTAAACCTCCTTACTTATGTCCTCACCTCAGGCTCTCATAGCCACCAGATTTTCCTAAAACTCCAATTTGCTAGTGTTAACTTCTCTAATAAATCCAAGTCAGCAATGTCAATCACATAATGACCATCAAAAAGTAATAGTCCTTCCTTAAACAACCCTAATGTATTATTGCAATGGTAAACATTAATATAATTAACATTTTTCTAAATTTTGTGTCCTTAAATAATTGATTTTTCTTAAGTCTTTTATTAATACCTTAATTGATATAACTAACAGCATTTTGGAGGGGACATTCCTCACTATCAAGCCTCCATATCAACTTGGGCTTTTTCTCTACCATGAAAGGATTCAAATGAAATAATTAAAATAATTTAACAATGTGTTGACCAGAGTGTCAGTTCACTTTCTCTTCTTACACAGACCCTGGTATTTTTCACTTAAATTAACTCTGGTAAACCTGATATTCTCCTTGACACTCTGCTACGTTTGCCCTTCAAATGCAGCCTGAGGTTTGCACAACAGTTAGTGTGAGTCTAACAGTAGAGCTTATTATGCATTTTATTTAAATAACTAGAATTTTCCCATTCTGGATTAGAGATATAGTAGTAATTTTCAAACCTCTTTTAGTATTTTTACATATACTTATAGAAAGATTATTGATAGTACAGTCTATATAAGCTTCTAGCTTAAAGCTTTTATCTCCTGCTGCTGTTCCTCTTCCTCCCTATCATCTTGCTGCTGGTTCTCTGAGCTTCTTCAAGTATCTGTGGTGAAGGACCAGTTTTTGTTTGTTTTCATTTTATTTTTTAAATAAATTACTTTTATTGTATTTTTAAAAGCTTCTTATCTATGACAGATTGGAAATTATGAAAAAGAAATATAAACTATAATTACCAATCTTTA